CAGGGTTGTCGAGCCAATCATGGCATCCTCGTGGTCTGCACCAGTGGTGGAGCATCAACAAGCACTGGATCCGTTATAGGTCATGAGTCTGGCGCTGGCCTTCAATCAACTTCTGGTTCTGGATACCGGTCTGTGGAGTCTGCTGGCAACCCGAATATTAGGTCCAGCTCTATGGTTTCGTCGGCTACGGCTTCTGCATCTACAGGGAATGATCCTATTTCCTCTGCTTCTCTACTTAATTCTCCCTCTCGCACTTCACTCCCAACCACTGGTGCAACACCTGCTCCAAAAAAAAAATATTTCTACGAGGTTATAGTTCGAGAGCTGTTGCCTGGACCCTTAAGTGAGTAATTTAATTAGCGAATAGTTTTGGTACTAAGCCCGAAGTGGCTCATTGCTGATTTGGCTATTAGTAGTTACCGTGACAGGAATACTAGCTTGCGGGTTATGGAGTGTTAACAATAAAAGTTGAACAGGATAATTAATTTTCTACCATTTCAGATTTGATATTCGCAATGCTGAAGCTAAATTGGCTGAGTGAAGCTATAGTTTATTTACATCATGTCGGTCTTCCACCATCTTCCACTTTTATTTCATTTTACACCCTTATAATAGACTTTAATTATCTCGATTCAGCACCAGATTACCGCTTAGTTGTTGAGGCGTAATGCTTCAATTAACTTATTCCCTCCTTTTTTCGTTTATATGTAGGTTTTAGAGACTACCATCATACTCTTAATATATATTCTTTACTTTACTTTTCCGTCTGAGCTCTTTTGAATATAAACCTACCTTGAGGTAGTGTTCTTCCAAAATTATTTTGGCGAATTACGATTGGCTTGTCTTTATCAATTTGCTTTCCTTTGTCGGCCAGCCACTTCAGCCTCTTGTACATGAAAGATGAAGCTTACTTTCATTTAGGATTTTGCACCCATCAGTGGCCTACTTCGGATACCCTGTAAACTCAGCTATGTCTGGCAATTATATATCCGAATTCCGAACAAATTTATACCTATCTGGGCCTTCTTATTTTGCTCATCAGATGATCCCGAATCCGCACCTGGTCTTCGCGTCGGTTGGGCTGGGGAAACAGCTTGTCTTTCACCACTTGGAGCCGATCGTGCTGGGTTTGCTTGCTACTTCAGCACCATTCATCCCACCTCGCCAGCTGCTTCTGTCTTGACAGTTGACTACGCCTTTTCTCAAGCCTCTACCATCGTAGGCCTCTGTCCAGATTCCATCACAAGCGGAATGGCTGCCAGTGGGGCCGGACAGGTGATCTCGGGTTTAAGTCGAAGCGGGTCACCAGCCTGTTCTGGAAGCTGTCCGGCCAGCGGCAGTGCCAGTGGCAGCGGTGGTGGATGCAGTGAAAGTAGGAGTGAAGGCGGAAGTGGGGGCGCTCGTGGACGACATGGTGACCAACACTCATGGAATCGCCAGATAGCACCACTGCATGCTTCTGAAGTGGCTCTGCCTTTTCATCCTCATTTGCAAGCTACGGTTGCGGCTGCGGCATCGGCATCTGCTGCGATATCGACGGTCGCAACCTCGCCAGTAGAGACTCAAATGACTGGCTTGGCGAGAAGACATGGCCAAGTAGCGAGACCCTCTGGCCGAAGCCGAAGTGATCGCGAAAAGGTGCTCGTGAGCGGAAGCGGTTTTTCTGGTCCACTTTGGTCCACTTGTGGTGGTACAATTAGTGCCGGTACTAGTGTAGGATCTAGCGCCTTAAGTGGTATCGGCGCATTTGGGCATCCTAGTAGTGCTTCTGGGATCGGAGGAAGTTCGTCGAATGGGCCGACATCTGTCACTGCTCCAGCAGCATCTCAGCGACCTCATGGACCCATGGTTTTGGGCGGCAATTCAAAAATAGTTCACGCCGGTGGCCAAATCATCTACGGAGAGGTAAATGTGAGCCCGCGAGCTCCTTTTTTAGTGTCTATACTTATTTGTTGCTGCTTCATTTCGTCCATTTTACGTCAGATTTTCGTTGAATGGTTAGTTTTACTGCCTTGATAGCGGCTTATTGATATTGCGTTGGTGAAGTTGTAGTGCCCCGTTCACCGACTCTCACCCCTCTTATATTTCACTTCCGAGTTGCAATTTAATTATATAAGGAAATTTTGTGGCTATGAGGTTATTGTTGAAAATACATCTATATGAGGAGCCCATGGGGCTTTGGTTGCTTTGCAAGCTGCATTATGAGCTTCAATTATGTTAGGCTTTACTTAAAAGTCTCTAGCTATTTTGGTGGAGTGAGCCACACTCTACCAAAGATAATTTTTATTAATACTAGCATACTTTTAATTTCGTTTGAAAGGGTGAGTGAAAGGGATTCGTAAATTTCCATCACTGGATACCAAATGAGGGTTACTTGGACTTCTGACTGTTGGATTGTGCGAAGAAGACCTCGGCTCACCGTCCTGCAATCCCGATGATTCCGTGCTGAGCTCTCGACCATCATTTAACGGACATCGTCAAAGCCAGAAACCATTATTTACGAAGAATAACCCAAAAGCACTAAACCAAGAAAGATCACCGACTTTGCGATCTAAATGAGGCACTCTATAATTTGGTTAGCTGCCTTATGCTTGTCCTACATGCATGTATGCTAATGAAGCTGATGCAGGAAGGGGACAAGATGTAGTCACAAATTTTCTTTATGTCAATATATTAGCATATGATCCTGCAATCCTGAGGCTTTTTTAGCTTCGTGGATGCGTATGCACTGTGTGCATACGATACTCGCGATTTAGTTGCTACTTATGGGTCCCAAACCAGGCTTCGGGTTAGTCAAGTCCTCTCTTACTCGTTGGCTCTTCCTGATCCCTCTCTTTCTCTATTTTTTTCCTCTCTCTCACACACACACCAGAGATAGGTGTTGTTTAATTTACTACACTCGTTCATTTGTTTTTTTTAATTTCAATCGACTTCCTGATATTCGAAACTCATATTATCTTTATAACTTATTAATTCATATTCTTTGTTTTGAACGAAAAATGGGTCAAATTTATGCTTTTTCTTTCTAGCACATTCAGATTTATTTTCAAAAACTTTATTTTTAAAGAACTTGTTTGACCTTGGTTTCTTAACTTGATCATATTACCAGTAAGACCTAAAGGAACTCACCTTCTTTGGAGTCCATAGTATGTATGATTATTTCCAGAGTCGGACCGTGAACTTGGTACATTCGCAGACGTTTCACCGACATCATCAGTAAGTCTTGTCATTATCATCAACCAAGCTAGAACTCGTCAAAGCAACAATATAGGTCAATCGATTGACCAACTTTCTGTGTAGACGGTTATGCTATCACTCCTCGTTTTGTCCTCGTCTGTATCCATTTCATAATCTCTAGTCTCGCTCTCGTCCTATCACAACTTCTGACATGTTTATATTTCACAAGGGATGTGCCCTTTTGGCGAATTTACCGTGGTGTCGCCACACATGCTGTTTGCCTTGCTCCCCTCCTTTTCGAGTGGCTGATCCTGCTCTAGTCTCCTGTTCGGATCTGCCTCATGGGCCCGTAGGTCCGTTTCTCATCTTTCTGGTATGTGAGCTTGACACGTTAACCACTCGGCTACATTGCCACGAGTTCTCTCGGGTCACAGGGCCGATGTGAATGTCAAGGCAGAACAGGCCTTTTCTTATATCACATTCTTTGGTTGGATTGTCTATGAAGCAAACGTATGTTTACTATAGCAATCGACTACATTACTTATTTTTCGTATATATAAGTAGAGTTTCGAGACTACCAGTAAATTAGTTATATAAGATTATTCACCCTATTTCGTTTATGATGATGAAGGACTGGTAGTAGAATTTTCCCACATTAATATGAGTTGAGCTGTCGTTTCCATTGAATTTCACATAACCTTGCTTTCTCAAAAGTTATTCTCATCCAGGGTGGACTGCAAGGATATGTAAAATTCAATGGAAGCGTCAACTCTACTCATATCATTGTGGGAAAATCCTACTACCAGTCCTTTATCACTTTAAACGAAATAGGGTGAATACATTTCATATAACTGATTTGATGTTAGTCTCGAAAACATACTTATATATGCGCAAAAAATTTCCAATTCCACCTCCGTTAATCTTAGGCTTCTGATGATCATGCTCCTCAGTATGCCTATCTTCATTCTGTAGCTGTGATGAGATTCAAAATTGAGTATTATTCCGCTATATGACTTCTTTTGGAACAACTTCCCAGTAGAGCGAATAACCTTAACATGTAAGAACGCCAAGCGCCTCTCTTCCTCTACATCCATTTTGAATTTGATTTTTTCATCAATCCCCTTCATAAACTTCAGGAAATTCTCCAACTTTTCTCTTAAATTCGACCATGTTGCAAAGTAATCATCCAGGTACCGCATAAGAACTCTTGGCTACAGCGATGACACCTTGACATTCTCTTCTATTTTGTCCATATATACATTTGCCAATAGAGATGAGATAAGTGATCCCATAGGAAGTCTAAATATCTGTCCATAGATGATTCCATTGAATGTGAAGTATTTAGTACTTATTTTCAAGTTACCCTCTCCCTTCTGATACTCTGCTTCTAGGATATCCTCTTCTCGATCCAAAATTTTTAACTGGGCTTAAACGGGGAATAAAATCGTAGATTATGTAAGCTATGAATTGGATTGTGAAGACTTTTTAGAACAATAAAATACAGAAGATGTAGATGTATATAGTGCAAACCAGTTGAGCAAGTGAGGGCGAGGGAGGATCGAGTTGCTGTGGTCGCGTAATTAGGGGAGCCGGCCTTTTTTGGCTCGAGGCCCTAAAAATATTGACTTAATGGTCTTAATTAAGTCACGTTTTACTTTTATCCAGACGATTATCTAATGCTAGAAGGTGAGGATGAAGAAGCCAAACAAACGGCATCTGAAATCAGTGGTAAAGGTGAGTACGCTTCACTAAATTTACATGAAGCGATGAAATCTTAGGCGACGTTGAAGGAAAGGAGCACACAGAATGGTGTGAATAGGTTAATGTGCCATATGAAGCAGGGTTGAGAGTAAGTGATGCAGTATTAGAATGTAGGGCGAGGAATAGTTCCAGAACGATTGAACAGGCACTTGGTCAACAGGATTGCGTTAACTTGTCACTGATCATGTCTACCTCTGTGCAAAGGAAGACGCCTCTTATTGGCGATGCTTGCCAAATGTCCGGGAATGTACTAAGTCAACGTTGCGATGCAGAAATTATCATGAATACTGGAGCAGAGGACGCAAGACTAGGTACGTTTCACAAGCTCTCCCTGTCACTCCAACCAGTTTATGAAAATTAGTTCAAACAAACACTACAACTAAAGAAGGAGATATGAAGACCAAGATGTTGTGGCCTCTGGTGTGGGATAAGAGGGTAAAGAGTCTATAGATAGGCCAGGACAGAAAGAGGAGTGATAGTGTAACCGTTTTTGGCAGAACGTTTGTCGTGGGATTGACTTAACTTGTCTCTTTGACGCGTTCGTAGCTTGGTGCGGAGAATAGCAAAACTCACTGATGATGCCGGCGAAACATTTGAGAATGTACCAAATCCACTGTCTGATGCTTGGAATCATGACAACTACTATGGCAGACGACTTCGGACTAGGTGCGCTCTACATAGTCGCCCTGAAAACAAGACCAAGTAGCGACAACTAGGTCAACACACTTCTATAAAGAAGGAGAGTTAATTTCGCTTAGGATACAGCGCTGTACCATTTGCCTCTTGTTGCTCGAAGATTCTCGTGTCTTCGCTAGTTCTGAAAATCTGTCGTTATATGGGCTTTCTGGATCTCGTTTTAACATTACAACGTCACATTTAAAGGAGATCCCACTTCCTTACAAATCTCTATTTTATTGGACAGATGATTCTTCCATTTTATAAATGTATATACTGACCTCATCTGAGCTTCTGGGCTCGAAATTCGACTGACCATTTTCTATAAAGTTAGATTCATTAATGGCCTTAAGGTGTAATTCAGATGCTAATCTTAGAATTTATGATATAGTATTTGCTGGAATTTGGTTTAGGTGAAACAAGCCACCTTAGATAGAAACGTGATCTTTTTGTTATTCGTGTGAGCAAAGTGTATGCTATTTTACGAATTTAGGCTTTGATAAATATTTTAACATTTTAAAAGTTAACTCTACAACTACGGGATAAGAGTGTCTATATAATAGGACAGTGATCTTTTTTTTAAAAAATGGTCTACAAAATATAAGAAATTAACGAGCTGCTATATAGAATTTTTTGTAGATTAGATGTGGGCAAGACCTCTTTCTTCATAGTACGACAGGTCATATTGGCGTTTTTGTTTTATTACTTATTTGAACTGTCCAGATGATACTTGACATGGACTCTACAAGCGAACCGAATACTTAAATGAAATCAATAATCTTCTATCCACCTTTCATGCACAATACTTCATTTTATTCAATCATTGAGGCCTAAGCCTTTGCTTGAATTGAGGAGAAATGTAGCTAATGAATATCATCCATTTTGGTTGCTACTTTCAGCTGACAATGGCTTTAAAAGGATTTGAAATGTTACTCCTTTATTTTAATGCCTATTCTGAAACTACTGGTCAATTCTTATGACTATGAGATGTATTCTCCCTTTTCGTTTAAGGTGATGAAGGACTGGTAGTTGAAATTTCCGACAATGATATGAGCAAGCTCAAGTTTCCATTAAATTTCACATAGTATCGCTTTCCCAAAAGTTGTTCTCATCCATGATGGATTGCAGTTTAGACCTCGTGTAGGTCTTATCAGCACCCCCAACAGAACTCGAACCATTAAGGGCATCGTGTAATCTCGACACCTTACTTACTGTGCCGCATGCCACGAGCGTCCTTGCGTCACAT